TTATGTGGCCACACAATGTTTTTTAACAACCTTTTTTATTAAACTGATGATGGAATGATACAATTCCGAAAAGATCTTCTTTATAATAAAAATTTTTAAGCTTTTAATAAGCGCCTTTTTTATACCTTAATACACACGAACACCACGTGCTTTGTATTTATGGATACTCTAGGATGCAAATTTTTTATATTATAAGAGAATTTAGTCCGAGTCTCATGTGTTAAATTTAAGTAAGGTCTCCCTATGTCTCTCATTTGTGAAATATCATCTATTCTCTGTTCCACATTTCTTATTTGATTACTATTTATTTGGATATTTTGCGGCATATCGTCTAATTTTTCTTCTGTCTTCGTTAATTCTAACTTCTAAGTTACATTTCTGCAACTCTATTTTCTGTTCTATATCTATCTTATTATCTTAAATAATCCTATTTACTTCTGTCCTCTCATTTTCTATCCTTTTCTTGTAGTCATGCCGTATATTTTTTATTTCATTTGCTACTTTTTTCTCTGCAGCTTCAAGCTTTTTATCTATTTGTTTTACAATTTTATTATTATTATCTTGTATTTTCTTTTCTAATTTTATATAATTCTCTTCCAATTTCTGTTCCATTTTTTCCATATCTTCTTTGACTTCTTTTGAATTCTCTTTAGTAGTCGTGGTTTGTGTAACAGTGGAAGTTTGAGTGGCAAGACTGGGTAGATTTGACTCTACGAGAGATTTGCATTATCCGCGTAATAAAGTTAAATATTTAAAATAATGTTTTTCCATTAGATCACGATTTTCAAGAGCATCGGCATCGTCAGTGGCTTGTTCTATGTTATCTTGTATAACATTGTAGCGTTCAAAATGTTTAATTATTGATTCTTCTCTTAATTGTATTTATATAATAGTTAACTGTGAATCTAAAAATTGATCACACCAATTATATGCTCGCGTTAAAGCCGACTTTGTCGTTGCTCGTTGTTTGTTCAGTGCCTCCATTATTAAATATAGGTTTTAAATCTAAACAAGTATGATATGTATTCACTAAAAACACCTTAAATTCACTGCGAAAGCACTAACGCGTTAGATAAAGCACAAATTTTAAAAGCGCCCTGAAAGAAAACAATACAATACAAACAAATCAATAGAATATAAATAAATGAATATTTAAATGTGTTGTAAAATATGTGTCGTATATATAAAATGTTTAAATATATGGAGGCACTGTGAAAGCAGTAAGTATAATATTTACGAGGTGTGAAAATATTAAAAAAATTTATTTAGTGAAATTTCAAAGATAAATAATAATAAATTTTTCGCTTTAGCAAATAAATGTTTTTAATTCTTAAAACTAATTATTACAAAGAATTTCTTACAAGAATTATTATTAAAATTTTTATTTTATGCGAAACAATAGTGACTTTCTTAGTATCGAAATTATTCTGTGAGCACGTGGGAAGAAAACTCTTTCTGTACCTGCAGCGAGATGCCGTGAATTCTCGCACAGCGAACGACGCGACGTAGCAATTTGTAGAATATAATATATTTTAAATATATTTGTGTTGTTTCAGTGTGTGATACGTTAAATAAGTGGAAAGGATATCACGAATATATTAAGATAGAAAAACAAACCAAGCGACTACCAAGAGGGCACTACACACTGTCTTCATTATTAATGAACGTATGGTTACATACGAGATGTCATAGGGCACTACGCATAAAAATAGTTTAACTAAAAGACAAATTTTATTTATTGACTTAAAGAAGGCCTCTGGCGAAAAGGATGGATATAACGAATATAATCAGAGAGAAAAAACAAACAAGGCGACTACCAAAAGGGCACTACACAGTATCTTAATTATTAAAGAACATATAGCTACATAAGAGATATCAGAGGGCACTATAGATAAAAATATATTTACTTTATATATATATATATATAATATATATATATATATATATATATATATATATATATATATATATATATATATATATATATATATATATATATATATATATATATATATATATATATATATATATATATATATATATATATAATACAGTAATTTAATCTCTGCAATATTCTGAAAGTCTCTAGTAAATCTTTTTATTAAGCCAAGCATTTGTAAAGACTTGGAAATTATTGACATATAATGCGATTCAAATAAAAGTTTAGAGTCTAAATTAATTCCCAGATCACAAATTTCGGTAACCCAGTCAACAGGAATGTTATCGTCAACTGTATATTATAATTATATTCCATTGGGTCTCTCGATTGTCCAAAAGAAACAGCATGACACTTGGATGTATTCAGGGCCATGGCATTCAACACACACCACTCACTCAAATGATTGAGATTGTTATGAAGATTAACAGAATCTTCTGTATTATTGATTATTGTGTAGAACTTTAGATTGTCCACAAAAGAAGAGGTGAACTGTGCTGGAAGCAGTGGTGTATATTATTGATGAATATGTTAAATAACAGGGTTCCCAAATGAGAACTTTGGGGTACTCCTGAATGAACCTTAATCTTACTGGAAACAAACTCCCTGATATGCACTATCTGAACTCGGCTAATCAAGTGTGATCTCAGCCATCTAAGAAGTGGCCCATCAACACCCATCTTTTTAAGTTTAACTATCAAAATATTATGGTTGACACAACCAAAGGCCTTGGAGAAATCAGTGTCTAGTGCATGTACCCTACGGCCTCTCTCCATGGCCTTCCTCAGGAAGTTCACAAACACTAGTATATTACATTCAATTGATCTGTTATTCCGAAATCCAAATTGTTGGTCTACTAAGCTGTTTTTCAAGTGAAGCTTTAAGATAGTCACATACAAAACATTCAAATATCTTTGGTATTACACTAATTATACTAATAGGCCTGTAATTATTCACCAATTACTTATCTCCCGCTTTAAAAATACGTGTTAAAAAACTATTTTTCCAGCACTCTGGAAATTCACCCTTATTTAAGAATAGACTAAAAATGTAAAAAAGAGGTATGGATAATATAAAACAACAATTCTTGAGAAAGCTGGGAGCAATCCATCAGGTAAAGGACCCTTATTCACATCCAGTTCTGATGATTTACATACTAAAATGAGGTGGCTGAGCAGAGGTAAAATACTTGAGCAGTTTATCATGCTTGTGCCACAAGTAAAGGAAGCATCAAGAGACATATTTTACAAGCAATTAGAAAATAAGGACTGGCTAATCAACCTCAGATTTCTGACATATAACGGCAAAGTTGAATGAATTAAATTTAAAAATATAAGGGAAAAATCAACATATTGCTGACATGATTAGTGCAGTAAATGCATTCATAACCTATGAATGAGTGTAATTTAATTTGGAATCCAATTAGGCTTTAAGAAGAACAGCATGAATTCTTTTCTTTTTGTATTATATAGAGACAAGACCTCTTAAACGGGAAAATATGTTCAGATGTACTGCATCTACTCTGAAGCCAACTCATAACAGGTATGATTTACCTAGTACTTTAAGTGATTTTAGTCTTTAGAAGATTTTCACTCTCACAAAAAAAGTGGTACAGTAGGCGGTACGGTAGACTAACGCGAAGATTCATACTATATTTTCTATATCTTTAAATTTTAAATAATATCTTTGAAATTGAATAAAGAAATTTTATTATATTTTTTATTTTACGAATATTTTACAATCATCGATTTACAAAGTTTATTTTTCTTTATTTTAACAATTTTTTGTACATTCAGAAGTACATAAAACCACTGGTAATATCCTTGAAATAGATTTAATAAAATTGAAAAAGTTTACATGTTGTATAATAAACATACTCCCCTCGTTGAGTAAATAGTTCTCCTAATTCACGTAGCTAATTTCGTGACAATTGCCTCAACATTTTACTATAGAGAAAAATTACCACAACTCCAGTGTAAAAGCTTCCATTAAAAAAAATAGGAGTTTAACCAAGTTATTCGGGATGTTCATATTAATAAGCCAAAGTAAATGGCAGTTAAATCTGCGAAACAGAGTTACATGAGGATGTTGTCAATCTCGATTTTTTTAAAAGTTGCGATAAATTCAAAATTTGTTCTTGTGTTGCCCTTTGCTTTATGAATCCTGTGTTGTTCAGGAGCTATTTCGCAGGTGATAAATTATCTAATAATTTGATCTATTGTGTATTATCTGTAAAAGGATGCACATCTTTCTATCTTTCTATCATATCTCATTATCAGTAAAATTAGTCTAAAATGTTGCATTGTCAGGGGAGGACAGGGGCTGGTGGTGACTTGTGATAGCAGATCTCAGTCAGGATCCTGTGCTTGTGTCTCATCTTCGGAGGCAACTTTCCTTTCCAATACTGGGGTACTGCCTTCAGGTTCCTATGGGCAACCTTTGACCTCCTCTTGGAGGATTCAGGGTGACCATGGGGACTCCGTGGTGGCCCTGCAGAATGGAGGATAATGCTGTGACTGGCACTTGCTTGGGAGATGACAACAGGACCCTACTCAGGTTTCTATTTTTGGAGCTCAGATTTAGAGCCGCTGCTGATTCTAGCAGATATGGGAGCCCAGAGGCTCCTGGGCCACAGAAATGCTTAGGGCCAAATGATAGGGGTGATACAATGGACGCACCTTAGGAGTTTTAAGTGTCTGAAGGACTATAGTACATATTAATGTTAAAAAGTCTACTATTATTAAAAGTCATGTATATTGATGTTGAGGCATCCTGAGACTAAGGCAACTTATGTAAAAAACATAAATGAGATCCTCTAGTCCAAGTTTTATTTAAAATGCATAATAACTATTATTATTAGACTCCTACTCATATGCTCATGAGTAGGATACACAAGAATGATCATGAAATCTTCAATTATTTATGAACATTATGAATTTTATAATTGGTTGCACAAATTCATGCAAATATTAATCCCATACAAAATATATTATTGGTTCAAAATCTTTTTGTCGACAAAATAAATTGTAAGGCGACATAGAAAAAGGATTTTTCTTTTCCTTACCTCAAAAATATCTCCCCATTCTTTTTCTTTAAAAATTCCTTTGTTGATTAAATGATTTTTTAGAATGTGAACATTACAATTCGCCATCAACTTAACAAAATGTTTTAATATAACATCCTTACACTCTATATTCATAGTTTTTAGGTATTTTTAAAGCACCAGTTGCTATTAAAACTCTAGCAATTTAACAAGTATAATAACTAATAACAAAAATGTATTGTGATAACAAAAACAAAAACCATTTAATGTTAAAATTATTTATATATGCTCTAACTTTGACATTTGACTTTGACACTTTGACAGAAACAAAACTTCTGTTGACCAAAAAGACGAAGTGAAGTGAACTTCTGTTGAAGGAATATAGTAAAGGTCAATTCAGACACATCAGTCCCGTCATAGTCTCGTCGCCGAACCGGTCCTGTTTGGTCACAGAACTATCAACTATCTGACAGCTGGGAAACTGTTTGTCAACTGATGAGTGTGAATGCCGGCAACATATTTGTATTAAAGAATATTTTGTATGACGGATTTTTCGGTTCGGCGCAATCACTGTGACGAGACGTGACTGATGTGTCTGAATCTACCTTTAGAGTGCCCGTCGACAAAAAAGTTTATGATAGATACTCTCTAAAAACTGTGGGTGTGGGTCGTGAGTATTCGCTCCGAGGGTTAACAAAGTGTCAAAGCAAAATCGACTGACCTGCTCATGGTGGCGATTGCTTGAAATTTTATCAGGACGCTTTTGTGCATGGTACCAAATCTGACAGCGTGTCACGTGACTGTAAATAGAGGGGAGACCAACGGAGCGAATCGCTTCATTAGATTCTGGGGCGTTTTTCCTTTAATTTTCCAGAAGAAAAACACGAAAATAAAATTGTCTGATGATAATAATATATTTCATTCAACACGTCTGAGGACTCGAACATGTCGGAAAAACAATTTAACTAAATTCATACAGTCTGTCCCAAACCCTTTTTTCAGTGCGTCACTAATTTTGACGTCATATAGGATTTTAAGAATGTCGAGAATTACTGCATGACATTTTAGTTAAATCCATCGAGCAATAAGACAAAAGAGGGAATCTAATCCTTATGAAAAGGAGACCAAAAAAGTGGCCTCTGATGGCGGACATATCCGGAAATGCAAAGGCGCTAAATTTAAATTTTCCAACACTTGTTAACAATACCTGTAAAATATTTTTCAGACAAGAAAGTTTTAATTAAATATTAACGATAATAGTTTAAAAAGTGACATAATTGGTAAAAAAACTTCAATATAAATAAAATTTCATGTGACAGTTGGGACAAACAATAACATAACCAAACTAAATTTGACTTTTAAACAAGGAAAGAGACTGTCTTTCCTTGTTTAAAGTGGCCTCTCAAGATGGCACTTCCTGTCTAACAATATGTTTGCCCCCACTACCTTTACATTCCCTCTATTGTCTTTTTGCTCGATGGTTAAATCTAACAGTTCCAGGATCGTAATCGGCTAAATGTGAAAAGGTTATTTTTTTAATGCATAGCAGTTTGTCATAATTCTATTCTATTCTGTTCTATTTTATACATTCCATGGAAAGTGCTTAATTAGCTAAGATTTGTTTATAAATTTATTATTATTTATTACAAACACTAGGGAATTGGAGGGTTTGTTTATTTAAAATAACGCTTCCTCCTAGAATCTTTTAAGAGTTGACTGCAAGGTAAAAAAATTTACTGACAATTGCAAGGCATCAAAGTAAACATTCCTGTGATAAAATAATATCGATTTAAATCAGTCATATTTGGATAAGTAATTTTCTGATAAGTTTGTGTGGCAGCCAATGGGTTAATTTTGTGAAGAGTTGTCATTAAATAGTAAAAATAGTTTAAATAGTGAAGCAGTTGATTTTTGAGTTAATCTACCAGTTCCGATATCCAGATGAAATCGTGTTAATGGAGTTTAGTTAAAAAACAAGATACCGAATGTAAGTTTACCTTCTTTTTTATGAATAACAAAAATGAATATTATATTTCAAACAATCTGTAATCCCATTCAGAATCTGATTCTTGAAAATCAATGTGTGGCTGGTATCAATTATGTCCTACATTTCAAGAAAATGTCGTGGTTCTAAAAAGAACCGTTTTAATACATATAAATATCCATAAAGGTATTAGTTTAAGATATTTCCTCAATATCATGCCGGAATTCACAATCTGATTCGTGAATGACAGAAACTGAAATACAGATATCTCAGCCTCTTTTTCTAATTGAAACTAATTTAATAATTTTAATATTAGTGTTTTTTCATTCTCGGTATATCTCGGAATATTTAAAATATTTTTATGACAATAAATACAAAATTTAATTTTCACTGTAGTTAAAATGTCTGAAAATACTAACATTATCATTTTATCAGTTGACATTTATACGTCCATGGTTGACATTGTGAAATTACTGTCACTGTCATTATCAAGATCATCTGTGTCAAATTATATTTATATGCATAATTGATTGGATATCTATTTAGCGTATTCTAAACTCCAACCAATTATACGTTCGTAAGTAGAATTCGCTTTAATATGCGAATACCCGTGAACGATACCTAATTTTCTAAGTTCTATGTATAATAATCAGCGACTCACATTTTTTTCTGTCACTTCTAGCTTAATGCGTTAGAGAGAATTCGAACAACTATGACGCACTGAAAGAAGGGTTTGGGACGGACTGTAGATGAGCAGCTAATTTTTCAGGATCTTTAATAAACAGCAGCAAAAAAAGCATTTTGCAATCTGACGGGTGAAATGTTTCAAGAAAATTAGGAGAACACGCCCCAAAACCAAATAAGGACACAGAGGAAAATCATGTTAAGGCCGTATGACACTATGCATTTTCTTGTATCATTTCTTATATCGTTTCTGATATAAAAAAAATGGATAGTGTCATAAAAGCGTATAGTTTCTTATATTAGAAACGATGCAAGAATTTGTGACCGCTGCATTTTCTTGTACAAGAAATGTGCCAATTTGTGCGGAAAGTCGCAAAAACGTAAAACTTCTGTCATATTGGCGGCTGGAGCGCTGGAGGAGAACTTTGATATACAATTAGACCAAGCAGACATCAGAGTATCAGAAAAAAGTGCCCACCAACAATAACCAAGATTAGAACATCAGTAGCCAAATTGAAAAACAATAAATCACAGGGATTTGATCAAATAGCATCGGAACTAATAAAAGTAGATGTTTTATAAAAACAATACATAGCCGCTCTAAAAATTCGTGATGCGTTTAAAGATTATTTCTCCAAATAAGAGAGTAGAATTTCAAGAGCATGCCATTCAAACACATAATTAAAAAAAAAACAAATAAATTATTACAACCAAAATTATTTATTATGTCTGTCTTCCATTACAGCCTGTTGAATATCTTCAAAAATTGTGGTTTCCAATTTAGTTTTAATATTGGGACATTTTATTTCTTTCATTTTTGCACCACAGTATTTAAAAAAATAATCAGTAGCATTTATGGCCTTAGTCCCCACATAGCTTGGGTTACTGCAGTTCTATTTTTATAGGTGTCAAAATTTCGACCAATCATGTGCCAAATCACATACAATTTTTGGTAAAAGCACTTGCATAGTGTCATACAGGGCAAAAATGTACGTGCAAGAAACGATACAAGAAAACATAAATAACTTTCTATATCAGAAACGATATAAGAAATAATTAAAGAAAATGCATAGTGTCATACGGTCTTTAGACTCGGCCTAATAAAGCAAATAGCGATACCCAAAATTTGGAAAGAGTAATAACTCTTAACTATCATAAACTTTTTTGCCAACGGGCACTCTAGTTAACATGAGTTCTGTAAATAAAACAAAAAGTTTTTATGTATTATGTTGTTTCTGTTTTAGAACTTTTAGGCTTCTTTCAGACGGGCGACATTTTGTCATCGTGCAGTGTCGTGAAAAAAAGTTTGGTTGCTCTCACACATCATTCAATTTCTGCCGTAGTCGTGCTGTGAACTGTTGTCTTGTATGATGGATGGAAGAAAAAGAAAGCATTTAATAGTGTTGTCATTATGCCATTGTCGCCGAAAATCTCAAAAAATAAGAAAATATTGGACTCATCCGCTCCTTGAAAATAGGTATTTAGTGGTCGAATTTGTCACATTATTTCAGGATCTGCGAGAAGACAACATAAAATTTTTTCTTCTTCTTCCAATGGCGCTACAGCCCAAATTGAGCCTTGGCCTCCTGTAACTTCTGCCTCCAACAAAGGCGATTCCGCGCCACTCGTCTCCAAGCCCTGACGTTCAATAAGTTGTGCGCATCTGCTGTGACTTCGTTCTCCCATCTATTACGTGGTCTTCCCTTTGGTCTTCTGCCCTGCATTTTACCATCCAAGGCCTTTCTCGGCAATCTGTCGGCATCCATCCGTACCACATGACCAGCCCATCGAAGCCTTTGTACTCTAGCGAACTCTGCAATAGGTGCTTCTTTGAACAGTTGGTAGAGTTCATGGTTATATCTAGATCTCCACATCCCATTTTGAGTGATGGGTCCAAAGATCTTCCTTAGGATTTTTCTCTCGGATAAAATTTTTTAATGACTTTCAAATGTCTGTTGTAAGTTTCGATGAATTAAGTATGAAGATATACGGTGATTTACAGAAACAGGACACCAATATGCGAAATTGCATAACACCAATCGAGATGCTCGCAGCTACTAATAAGCTCGCGGTAAGTAATAACATTTTAATAAATGCATATTATTTATTCTGTACGAAAAAAACAACAAAGAAATGTAAACTAGAAATACATAATGCAATTTCGGTATGTACCTATCATTAATCAAACAAATTAATACTTTGTGAGCCGTCAGAGGAGACGGTTGAATACGATGGGGAAAATACATTTGTTTCTTCTGTTAATTCAGCGGTAGCGCTATTTTTTCGTGAAGCGTGTCCTGAAGGTAGCAAAAGGGTATAAGTTGCATGCGTTCGATTTGCTGAATTTGAAAAATCGTTTCGCTTTAGAGACTGAATTAATTGTAGTACTCCAATTTGGAATTCACAAATTTTATCGTCGTTAAAAATGTTTAAAGAAGGCACTATTCCAGCGAAAAATTCCATATGTCGATCTGTAAAAGTTTAATGTGCTGGTGGTGGAGGGGTTTCCAATGCTGCAATCATTCGTTCTTCAAATGCAGTCATCCTTTTTTTTTAACCCGATTGTATTTGTGGCTTTTCAAGTTTACGTTTTTAGTTGTTGGTGTTGTATTATTGTCAACAGACACTTGTTCTTGGTTGATAGTGTCACCTAAACTATTTTCTGTTTTATTTGGATGGGCAGTTTTTTTTTAATAATAATTAGTCGTAATAAACATATTTCTTCAAGCTATTAGCAGCAGCATCTGAACGCATTGTGTCATTATATTTTTTAAGCCATCTTAAGAAACTATCCTTTATATTTGTCCATATCTTTGTAAGTAATTTACCTGTAAATAAAAGAAAAACATTATTAGGTAGGTATTACTTAAAAGATATTTTTTTAGGTACTTTGCTACTGGATGTTCATTTACCGACCTCCATCACAGATACAAAATAGGAATTTCGATCATTAGTGGTATTGTTCAACATCTCATAGGTTATATGGAATGTTATGCACAATGATTGTTTACCTAAAACCCCAACTGAAAAATGGAAAGCCATTGAAAATATGTCTGAGAAACGGTCTAATTTTCCGCTTTGTATAGGAGCTGTAGATGGGAAACATATACGGATTATTAAACCAGCCCATACTGGGTCCATGTAGTCATTCAGTACGTGGAGGATTATCAGCAAATGAAATTAGAAACCTTTTCGCAGATTATTTTTTAACCGAGAAAGGATCAGTCCCTTGGCAAAATTTAAAAACATAAGTTTACTAAGCTAAGTCATTATAATGTAAAAAATAAAGCGAAATATTTTTATTAACCAATTTCATTTTGTTCTTTTTCTGACATCTCTCCATCTTTTAAAATTCTGCAAATATCTTTCCAACACTGTAATGTCTTTTTCGATTTTTAGACTGTTTCAAAGTTTTATCCCATAACACCGGCCGCTGTTCAACAAGATTGATAAGAAGCTCGTTATCAATTTCGATATCCATTTTTTTTAAATTTAAATATTTTACAAATATTTTTAAATCTAAATTCACTACCACTGTTAATAAATCCCGATTTTTTCGCCTACGCTACCACTGCAGTCGTTCACGACCACGACATCGTGTCGTTGTCGTCGCAGTGATCCCGCCGGGGTAATACGACAGTCGTGTACGACTACGATTTTAAATCGCGTCGTATGAAAGTTTACATTTAATCAATGAGTTAACTGCTATACACGATATCGTTGCCGTACACGACTACGACAAAATATCGTCCGTCTGAAAGAAGCGTAAAGATCGATTCAGACACATCAGTCCCGTTACAGTCTCGGCGCCGAACCGGTCCTGTTTGGTCAGAGAACTATTAATTATTTGACAGCTGGGAAACTGTTCGTCGCCTGATGAATGTGAATGCCGGCGCCATGGACGTATAAACATAGATCTATTCCATGATACTATAAATCTATTCTATGTTTATAGGTCCATGGCCGGCGCCATATTTCTATTAAAGAATATTTTGTATGACGGATTGTTCGGTTAGGCGCCAGGACTGTGACGACTGACGAGACGTGACTGATGTGCCTGAATCGACCTTTAATCCACCTAAAATTGTTTTAAAATTAGTAGAAGAAGAATAGCTGCATTTAAAAGCATAATTTGACATTTTTGACATTTGTTGTTTTCGTCACATCACATAAGTCATTCATTTCTTGTTTCGCATGTCAGTTTATTATAGTAATATAGTAGTTGAATCTAGACATTTTATATTAAAATTAAAGATGTATTTATTTCATATTGTAGCCATATTCTTATACTGTAGTGTCATTCACGCACAGCCACAGTGGAATACACGAGATTTCATGAAAAGGGAGCACTCTTTAATTAAACCTTATTATGGTGATTAAAAAGTTTGTAGAGGTTAAGATTTTCTCTAACTTAAATTTTTTGTAGGTTCGGGATTAGATATTCCTTTCTGGCACTTTATTGGAAGTACAATTGTTACACCAAACTATATACGTCTTGTTGATGATTCTCAAAGTAAATGGGGTGCTATATGGAATACTGTTGTAGGTAGTGTACTTAATTAGTTAAATTGGATAATACAGAATTATTGTTTTAGCCGGTGACCAGCAGAAATTGGGATATCCAAGTTCATTTTAAAGTTCATGGCAAAGGAAAGGATCTATTTGGTGATGGATTTGCCATTTGGTATGCCAAAGACAGATTAACTACTGGGCCTGTGTATGGTAGTAAAGATTTGTTCCACGGGTTAGCAATTATTCTAGACACATATAGCAACCATAATGGTCCTCATAATGTAAGTTATGTGATTAAGGAGGGATAGGGTTTATTTCCAATATTTTAAACATTTTTAAGGTTTTTTTTTTGGAAAATTGTTTAATATCAATTTATTTATAACATTAGTACATTATAGTACAACATTTCAAGAGTATTATCTAAAATTGTGGTACAAAAATATTAAAAATTAAGAAAATGCCAGCCAATTTTCCAAAATAAAAAAAACAAAAGTTACTTTGTGGTGTTCATCATAACTTATAACTGAATCATCTGTTGACAAAAAAAACCAAAAAACATTTGTTAGTTTATGAGTTTCCCTCACACTCACTCCTAAATAGCTATAACTCTATCAATATTGATGGAGTGATTTTCAGAGTGCTTTGATCACTCTGAAATTTTAACTTAATACTCTTGAGGAGTTATACTATCAAATAAGAATATAAAAAAAATGCAAAAATGCCCTAACAACCACCCATTAATGCAAGGATAGTAAATAATTAAAGGTAAAATATTTGTCTTTTAGCATCAACATCCATATATTTCTGCCATGATTAACAATGGTAGTTTATCTTATGATCATGACAGAGATGGTACCCATACACAATTGGCTGGATGTGAAGCCAAGTTCAGGAATTTTGATCATGATACTCACATATCAATTAGATATGAAAATGATGTATTGACAGGTAAGTTTTCTGTGTATGTGTGTGTGTGTGTGTGTGTGTGTGTGTGTGTGTGTGTGTGTGTGTGTGTGTGTGTGTGTGTGTGTGTGTGTGTGTGTGTGTGTGTGTGTGTGTGTGTGTGTGTGTGTGTGTGTGTGTGTGTGTGTGTGTGTGTGTGTGTGTGTGTGTGTGTGTGTGTGTGTGTGTGTGTGTGTGTGTGTGTGTGTGTGTGTGTGTGTGTGTGTGTGTGTGTGTGTGTGTGTGTGTGTGTGTGTGTGTGTGTGTGTGTGTGTGTGTGTGTGTGTGTGTGTGTGTGTGTGTGTGTGTGTGTGTGTGTGTGTGTGTGTGTGTGTGTGTGTGTGTGTGTGTGTGTGTGTGTGTGTGTGTGTGTGTGTGTGTGTGTGTGTGTGTGTGTGTGTGTGTGTGTGTGTGTGTGTGTGTGTGTGTGTGTGTGTGTGTGTGTGTGTGTGTGTGTGTGTGTGTGTGTGTGTGTGTGTGTGTGTGTGTGTGTGTGTGTGTGTGTGTGTGTGTGAAGTTTAAAAAAAGGACATGAAGATGTATAAGGGATAGCACATTGGGTGGATATTTTACTACAATACATATTTAATTCAATGCTTATACTAACTAAATTTGTAATTGTTAATAATACAGCTGAAAAGGGATATAAGAAAGATGGGAATAAAAACTATGGGAAAGAAAGTAACACATAAAAGGAAAATAGTAGAAAACATGAAAACACTTTTTAATTTTTAAACAAAACTTGTAGCATTTTAAATTTGATTGATTCTTTGAAGTATATTTAAAGTCGCCTCGTATATGAAATCGTCTTAATAAAACGAAGAATGTTTTCTGTTTTTTAGTTCGTATCTTTCGAAAAGTGTTTTCAATCATTCTAACGTCGTAGAGTAATAAATCCATTTAATTGTTGTTTATTTTACTGCGGCGATTTCTTTTCATGTAAATGCGTTTCAAAGGATATCTACGTCGTTCGTTTGGTTTTGCTATTTCAGCAGTTCGTTGATTTTCAAGTTAAGCGAACAAATTTTTAATTTCGTCACTATCGGTGGAACCGCTGTCAAGGGCAGTTGGTTTCGTTTGTTTAGTCCGAATTTTCGTCAAATTCGTAATGGTTTTTGGTTATTGTTTTATTTTTGTTATTAGAAATAGTGAAGTTTGGTAACATGTATAGTTACAGTTTGAGGTTGGTTTAAGATCTTGACGGGAAAAGAGCCTGGGTGTGTATTCTTCAAGGAACCAACAATTTTTTATGAAGAGGTGAATTTTATACTCAGATGTAATGTGTCAGTTTTTGTCTGAGTTACTCGCCGATTTTGTTCGTGCTGTGTTTTATCTGAGGGATTTGAAACACGGCGTTTCGATCAGTTTAAAAGATGTCCATATGGTTTCGAGCAAGAGCCTGAGTTTTTGAAAAGCTAAGCCATGAAGATTGCGACAAGATAATCTAGTGCCCAGCTTTCATCATCTATTTGTTGTCGTTAGTCACTCCAGAACATTTTGCAGCTTGTGAGACTCATTTGTTTGTTTTGCTGTATTTTAGAGTCCAATTCCAACGCCAAAACTTTTAAAGGAGATACAATAGTCAGTGATATCAGGTATTTTTTTTTGTTAAAATTTTTAAAGTAAAAATGGACATTTTGATTATTATTAATTTTAGGAATTGGCTAACTGTCATATTAATTATTCTTATAAAGTTTTAATATTTAATCTTGGCATATGACAGTTAGCATTATTTTCTCCGGACATTGGGTACATGCATAACCATAAATTTTGAATTTGTTTTTTTTTGTTTTTAAAAAAAGTTAATCTCAGTGAGTAAGATCCATTTAAAAAGATATTTTGATTTATAATAAGTATTTAAATAGTTACGACTAGTTGTTGGAACCGCTACAAAATGTCTCCCAAATATTGTCCCCAACGTCTAGAGTTTGCTGTAAACCGATAGCACCATTGTAAGTTGTTCGTGTATGTTGTTATTATTATCTGTATTTGTGTAACTGTTTGTGGTGACACATAAATAAATGTTAAATTTTGTTGTCTTAACATTTTATTTTTTTTTGAGCTAACCCTTTTTAGGTTTATTTGAAAAAGATATGTTTTTTATGTTTTGATTTTGTTTTCTAATTATTTCCCTAGTTACAACTAGTGGTTGTAATAGGCATAATTAGGCACCTCAAGTGGCGCCCTATATTAAATTCCTTGAGGTGTTTCTTGTTTATTTTTATTTTGTTGATTCCAAGAGCCCTTTATTTCATTTTTTTGTAGTTCCGTATTCCAATGCCCTTATCTTTTACTTATCCACGACCCCAGCTCGCCTACGAAACCCTGAGTGCCGTTCGCATAAGTAGCGATTATTTTGCTTGCCTTATCTCCACCCCCTTAGTTTCTTTCCCCAATTTTCTACCCCTTATATTAATGCCCCTATGGTAGGCAAAATATTGTCGTTACAAAAATGGCTCCCAACGTGCGAGGCTGTTGAATATTCCTAATTTTTTAGAATTTATCCCTTTTCCCATGCCACATATCTTTTTCAGTTCGTCCCTAGTTTTCTGCCATTTTTATCAAACCCTGTCTTCCAGGTAGTGCCCCGGTGTCCCACAAACAGTTTGTTTATGTATTTGTATCAACATATGTATTGTTGTTTTTTTTTATGTATTGTTCTTGTATTGACATATGTATTATTGTATATCAACAGATGTATTTGTTGTATTTGACATATGTAATGTTGTATCTTTTATTTCGTGTACTGTAGAAATTTTTCTATATGTATTTTTGTGTATTGGTAAATGAAAGCAAATATTTTGAGTTTGAATATTTAAATTGAATTTTAAATAATGTTTTGATGTTGAAAAGAATTTTAAGTTTTTTACAGTAACAAATTAAGTATACCGTTATTGTGCCATTTATTTTTGATTGATTTGACATTTCTTACAGAAAAATCGGTTTTTGTAATTTTGTTTTGTCTGGTCATTTTGAGTAAATGTGTTTATTGTTTGAGTGACTTTTCTTTGAGCTGATGAGTATAGTTGTGTTGTGTCCTTTGTCCTAAGCCATTTCATTGTTTCCTCTAAGCCCTCTCTGACGGCGTTTGTGTTATGCCACGGGCTAGTAGGAGATTGTGAATGTGAAGAGTAGTCCCCTGTGTTCCCCTGTTGTTCCCTAATTAACCAGCTTTGACGGCGTATGTAATGCCACGGGTTAATAGGAGATTGTGTTCCCCTGAGTCCCCTTTTATGTTTCCTGTCTTGTATCTGAATGATGACAAGTGTTATACTCGTGATCGGAGGTGCTGTTTAGTTTTGCCTAGGAGCAGTCTCATTAAGTTTTCAGAACAAGAGCAAGGTTTTTTATTTTCTGTTATTTTGTGAAGCTCATTGAAAAGTCAAGTTTTCAATATTGTTAGTATTTTTGTATCACCCTGTTAGTGAAGTTTATCGAGTATGTTGTTTTGTATACGTTGTGTATTTGCTTTCACCCAATCATTGTTTCAGTATTTTTGTCCCACCCTGTATGTGAAGTTCGTTGAGTTTGCCTCGAACCGTTTTTTTTTCTGTTATTTTGTGGATTTGTTTTATCCAGTTTTTCGTTAAATCAAGTCTATTCCTGTCCCAAGTTAACTGCTACGATTTCCATTTTCTTCTATATACAGTTTTCGTAAAATTATGTGGAAATAATTTTCGTCTATTTCCTTGTGAATTAAAAAATACGTATTTGGAATGATGTCATTCCTTATTTGCCGGTATTTAAAATGTGAACGATATCAAGTTTGTTTATTCTTGTTCGTCTTAAGTACCATCCCATGTCTGAGAAAAGAATTTTGTTTACGTTAACGAAATAATTCATTTCGTATGTAGACGCTGTCCTTTCTTTAAGTGTTTATAAGTTATCTATTTCGTCTTCTTATTGAGTGTTTGAGTAATTCGTTGCGTTTATAGAAATCAGCTGTTGTACGAAAAATATAGGTTAAATTTTTTCGTATCTTTAAAGTTTAATAGTCCAGGCAATGTGTGAAATTTTTTTAAGCCCCGAAAAGGAAAATGCTTCTGATTTTACAGTCCATGATCAGTCCGTGTGTTTTCGTGTTGTCTTTTGTTTTATAAGTAGGAGGAAGTAATAATGCGATTTCGTTTGTCCATGGCTAAGGCCGATTTGTTAGTGACAAAGCGAAGTATTGTTATTTCCCTTATGTTTGTTATTTCCGTATTTCTCCGTGTTTTCTTTGTTCCTATTCTGTGTAATAAGTAGGAGGAAATGATGATACGATTCCGTTTGTCCTTGGCTAAGGCCGATTTGTTAGTGACAAAGCGGAGTATTGTTATTTTTCTTTTTGTCTGTTAGTTTTGTGTTTTTTCCGTGTCTTTGTGTGGTCAGATATTGTAATGGAGATATGTTGATGGTCTAAAATGTATTAGTTGGTGATTTGAGTATTGTGTTTTTGAAGTATCATATAGGACGTACAGGCATGTGACCTGGATTTGTGTTTCCTTGGATATTTCTGTTGTTGTGTAAGACTGCGTAGCAGCATCCCCTTTCCGTGAATTAATAGAAAGGATAAGCCTTTCTATGTGTTGAAGTAAGACTATTGGCGATAGAGTCTCAATAGCATTCCTTCTTGTTGTAGTGTTTGTGATGTAGTGTTGATGATTTGGTGGAAGCGGAGGTACAAATACTGGCATTGTCCATTGTGACGTTTTGATTTGCTGCGGTGAAAGTACCTGCCGCCGTTTATTGTGAAAATTTTGTTTATGTCGATTGTGAGACCATGTTAGTGAAACATCTGAAGTTTTTTTAGTACTACCGTTGAATGACCCACTTAGAATTTCCCAGTTTTATGTTGTGACCCTGTTCGAGTTTTGTTGAAGAATAGTGAACGTTTCTTTGTGATTTATATGAAGATGTTGTATTCGATGATTATCCGTGAAAAGATAGTTTATTTCTTAATGTTGTCCCTTTATTCCCTTCCCAAACTGTGTCTTTGACCTTATTAGTTGTCATAAGAGGAACGG